AATGCATTAGAAAAATGCATTTTTTTTCATAGTAATTATCAGTTTTCCCTTATTATTAAAATATTATTAGATAGTCAAATGTATGTAGTAACTGGCGTAGAATTCATTTTTTCGATAAGTCTCTTAATTTCGTCTATAAAAATTCGAAACTAAAAAATGAGTCTACTATCCCCGGTCTCCCCTACGTGAATATGCTATGTATTGTAATTTCTTTATTATCAAAGTATAACAATTCCCGATATTAAAAACGTTTATAGTAATTAAATGTAATTTATATTTATAATATTAATGTTTTACATATTATAATATATACATTTACATAAAATATTATTAAAGACATTAAAATATTAATTTTAATAAAACGATCCTTTTTAAGTTATGACTCATTCAATCATATTCTTGACTTTGTACGTAAATATGCAATTTCATCGTATTCGCGTAAATAAGTACATGCACATATACATACATATTCAGTATCGGTGTATTAACTGTTAATTGTTTAATTGAATTGCGTTACATAAAATAACCATTAACCGTATTCTGTGTTTACCGTTTCTTGTCAGAAAAAACTGACATATTTACAAGTTACTATTATTAAAATTACATTAATTTTGCAAATTCTGCAAATTCTGTACTGAATGCGCCTCTCAATTTACAGTAATATTCGATTACACTTTTACAGTAATACTCAGTTAGAATGTACAGTAAATATGCAATTACACTTTCGTTTTATTTCCAAATTTCATCTGGCTCTTTGGACACCTATTGATAAATGTTTTTTTATATAAAATGCACAGTTTAAATATATTCATACCCTTTCAAAAAATAATCAATTACAGAAACGAAATGTAACAATAAATGTTTGTTTTTTCTGTATATTGTAACAAATAAGCTCCCCTTTTTGATACAAAATAAAGATGAAAAGCAATTGCTTAGAGAACTAATCATGAAAATTGTTTATAACAATGAATTTGTACACATCAATTATTGCATTTGTAGACATCAATATTACTGCACGGAAATGAGTAGCATTATTGCTAATGACAGATCAATGATTTAACGGTTTTTGCAATTCTTTCGTGTTAATGTTGACGAAAATAATATATTCATGAAGCTATTTAAAAGTTAATTTATATTAAGTTAATGTATCTATTATTCGTACAATTATACTTTTTGGAAAGTTGATATTTATCTTCTAAAGTCGAGTTTAAACAAGAATTATTTAAAAAAGGGAAATATATATAGTCATTGACACATTGAATAAATAGTATATTTTTATCAATAATAAAACTTCATTGTTGATTTGATATTAAATTTCAAATGCGTATTAATTAATTAATTTGATTATCATACAATCAAGCATATTTTTAAAATCCTACATTACTGACAAAAAATTCTTATATTAATATTTTTTAAATATAATATAATCAGTAACAATTTGTGATAATTAAAAAAATAATATATTTATTGAATATATATATTATACTTATCTACTTACACTTTAGAATCTGATTCTCAAAATTTATAAACTAGTTACTAACTGATCTGACACACAAAGTTTTATTCAGGTTATATATAAAAATTACATTAAAATAAATTATTTGCGTATCGCTCTGTATCCAAATCCTTATATAATAAATAGCTTTTTTTCTGCCTACCAAATCATGAAAAGTATCATGTCAACGTGAGAAATCTTAAATGGATAAAAGATATATCTCTAACTTTTGCTTGCTTATTTTCTTATTTTTACGCTATCATAAATCGCAAAATGTAAATAAAATAATAATACGTTTTACATCTTTACATTCGCTGCAGTTTCAAGAACATGCGTCACACAGTGTCTTGGCACTGATATCAGTGATTATCTACTGATTCAGATTTAGAAAGTATGAATAGTATAGTCCTTAAACAATATGAAAAATACAATGTAAATGTAAATTACATTATGCAGAAAATGTCTCACAAAATAACGTCGCAACTTGTGCATAATGAGTTGATAAAAACACGATCACAGGTATGATTTGTTTAAATCAGGTTGGGCGCGTTCTATTCGAAGTATATGTATGGCTAAACTGATCATATTTGTATACTCGAAACACGTAAAGCTGCAGTAGGCATATATATATCTACATATATAAAAGAGAATTTTTGTTATTGATATGTCAAGCAATTAAATAGTATTGTAATTTTCTGAAATTAGAAGATAAGTCCAATAATAATTAAACATAAACTTGATATTTCATTGGTTCAACGATAAATACGAATAGGAACAGTCGTGGACAGAACGGTTGTAACACTTTTTTTTTAATGAGTTTTGGAATACAACCTGCTCATCAAGTGATTGGTTTTTATTTATGTATCTATAAGTAAGAATCAATCGTTCGGTTAGCAGACTGCATTCCGAAACCCATCGAAAAAAGTGTTGCAACTGTTCTGTTCATGACCGTACACACCAAAAGTAAATATAAATAACAATTATAAGTTACTACTTAATAAATTACTAACTAATTAATAACTATTATAAATTATTAAATATAAATAAATTAATAACCATTAGTCGTTTGTATGTATAATAAATAAAGTTAATTTTATATAATAGTATATGTTAAAATACACATTAAATATATATTAAAATCATGTAAACCTTGAGACGTATAATTAATATATTATCTTAGATTAAAACATTATTTTTTTCAAATGCTTAATATAAAACATAAAAATTATTAATATACAATAATATTAATACTCTTAAGGGGATTCTGAAGTAACCCCAAATTATCGACATTACAGTCGTATAAAAATCTCCGAATTGATTGAAAGGAATAAAAAATCCTTTTACATGATTAAAGTAGAAGCAAAATTAGGAGGTGGTGCAGTGGACTTTATACTAAAATAAAAAAAAATTAAGTAAGCTTTTAACTTTTTTTCGATTTTAATATAAATGATACTGCACCATTTCCTATTTTTGCATCTACTTTAATCCTGTAAAAGAATTTTTGATTCTTAATTTAGTCACTCCGTCATCCCCTTAAGTAAATGCTATTTTCCTTCAGTTAATTTCCAGCTTCTCTATTAGTTCGCGCTTTTAATTTATAAAAAACTTCTTTCAATTTTTTATTATTTTTAGTCTTTATTAGCTTATAAATAAAAGATAATAAAGATGTAAATTGTTGTTTTATCAATAATTGAATATTACTATATCGCTAAAAATAAATCTTTATTTTAACACAGTTTAATAAACTCAGTAAGGTAATACAAAAATATATAACACACACACACACACACACACACGCACACACGCACACACGCACACACGCACACACGCACACAC